GTGGGGGAACTTGCACAATCGGTGGCTGACTAAATACTTTTTTGCCCCACTGTATATACCAACAAGACAGTGTACATCACTGTCACAACAGCATTTGTTTTCATTCAAAGGCTTTATGGCTTTTCCTATAATACCTGGTGGGCCGGTCTCTAGTCAAAATGCCCGGGCTGATTTTTTGTCCCAGTCCAGTCCAGGGAGCCATAGCCCTCCCCCCAGAACATGAAGCGGAGGAGACCTGGATCCAGACATCCAGAGGCCCCTCAGTGTGAAAACCCAAGGAGGACCACCGTAGAGGCAACCTCGCCACCCTCCCGGAAAGAGCTGAGGAGAGCCCCAGATGTGGGGTCACTCAGCAACCACGGTGCAGAAGCCAGAGAGGGCTGCAGTGATGAGCCCACAGGCCCCGCTGGCAGCCAGCTGCACCAGAGTGGACCGAGCTGTGGTCCCAGAGGACCGAGGGCATCCCAGCCTCCCGGAAGGGGCCTGACCCAGCCACGGGTGCCAAGCCCCACCAAGCAACCGCCGGGAGTGAGCCGGGTACATACCTAAGCACCCAGTCCCAGATGCCGAGAACCACCAATGCATCGACGGCTGAGGGCATAGCCCACTGGCAGGTAGTGTGGTGGGTGGAGCTAGGCCTCCACACCTAGGGGGGCTGAGATGTTTTCAGAGAGGCGGAGGTGGGGACTCGACCTGACACATAGACACAAGCATATGTTCCTAATACTCAGCACTCGCCCAATGTGGAGACAAACAGAAATGAACAGCATACACCCATTCACACACCCGAGACATACTCTATACTCCCAGGTTCAGGTATCACCGCCCCCAGGGGGGGCAATCAACCCCCAGACCCAAGAGATGCTACCCTGGAGTGTATGGTCTCAATGTACATGGATCCTGAGTCAACAGTCTTAGAATTTTCAAACCTGGAATCCATTGTCTCAGATTGATTGTGAGTTGAGCTGGCCACATGAAAGACATTTACATTGCTGCCCATGGAAACATTTCTTAGAAGTTCATTATTAGTTTCCAGGTATGTATCACACACAGTGTTAATCTTAACTTTCACGTTACCTCAGGAACATTGGCTTCATGAGGCGTGACCAAGGGAGCAACACTGGAAACAGTCTCTGATTCAGCGTCTTTGACATGATCTATGTTTTCTTTAGCTGCTCCCTACGAACAGATAAACTCAGTGCTTATAATTGCACAGCATGTTTCTGACAAAATTCCTGACCTTGAATTACAGTTCCATTTCATGAAGGATATTCATACCATTCCTCATGGGCATGTTACTTAGATCTTTAAGGTAAGACACACTAATACAAGGGCTAGTCAAACCAAGAGATTCCCTGGAATCTGCATCAGAGAGGCGATGATTTAACCCTGGACAGTATGTTGAAGATGCTTCATTAACAAACTCTATAGAATAACAGTTCTCAGCAGGATCTACACACAGAGGAGCTAAACAAAGACAGTCTGTGGAAGGTTTCCCTTGTGGCTCAATAATAGCCTTTGTGTTAGCAGAGCTGCAGCTGAATGAGAAACTGTGGCAGGGGTAATTTCAGTCTAGAAACTGGCTTGACATCAATCTGTACTCAGTACACAGTACTCATCTCAAAGTCCTCCTTAGCAAAGACGTGAGGGGCACGTCTGCTAGCATAATAGACAGGTTTTTTGACGGGGCTTCCACACAAACGCAAAGCAGGAGATGAAGCATCGCCAAATATGTTTCCAAACCAACTTCATTCTTCAAAGACTAGAAAATATGGTGAAGCATATCTGCCCTTTGGTTTCACTTGCACAAGTGCCGAGGTAGGTCTCCCCTGCAGAATTGGTTTTCCCTTCATTGGGAGCAGCGCTGGGCTGTTCAAATCACAGACAAACAAGATCCCACATTCTTGATTTTTAGTTCACAAACACTTGTTGTAATGACTAACTACTCCTGACATTTTGCTCTTTATACAGTAAAGTTACAGCGGGATACAAATAACATCAGGCTGATCCTGCCACGATTTGTTCCCCCAGTTCACATCCCGGACAAACAGTATCCCACAGCTGTTTATGTTTTTAAACCCAATTTGCACAGAGAGGCATTTTTTGAAAAATGTATTGATAGCAATGTTGAATATTATTACACAGGAAAAAATAACTACACGTAAAATAATCACATCGTGATGCCTCTGCCTTTGTAAATAGAGGGACGGTAACTGCGTGTGTATATGTAAGCGTGTGAAACCTGAAGATAGTCAGATTAACAGTATTTTGTCTCTGCCATTATTCATCTCATGTAAAAAATAACGTGGCGCACAGCATGACGTGAAAAAAGGCACATACCTTTGATGTTGCGTGATGAACTCTTTATTCCTCGTCCACACCGAAACACAAAAAAGGAGTTTTAAAAAATGTTTCCATTTTTGGTGATTTGAAACGCCGTTTACGTGTGAACGAAAGGCCCAAACACGTAGAAACAGCTGCATTTTCGAAAAAATACCAGTGTATGTGTGGACGTAGCGTAAAAGAGTTAGTAGTTTATTTTATTGCTACCTTTAATTTATTGCAGGTTACTTGTATTTGCTTAATTGTTTACTAAATGTTTGATGTGTGAAATAAACCACAATGGAGTTCGAAAACAAAATATGGGTGTGTGTGTGTATGATGATACAAATTAGCGTGATGACACCACAGGGGAAAGTGAAACTAAAACAATCAACACAGAACTGAAGACCTCTTTCAAAATAAAACGGGAAACACGGAGACTTAGACAACACAAGCTAAACAGAACTGAAACACGTGACAGACTAGACAAGAAACCAAACACAGAAACCAAGGAGACAGACGATAAATACTGGCTAATCTTAACCTCCACTAAAACTAAAATAAGAATAACACGCAAACTTATAATCACCAACCTAACATGAGAACCTCAAAAATACCGAATAAAGCAAAATTTTTACCATCATATGATTTATAGTAAATTTACTATAAATAAATTGCAGGAACGTTTTTTGCTGTGAGTTATTGAAACCTTTAACCTCCTAAGACCCGCACTCTTCCATGGCATGCATTTTCAATTTTTCTTTGCTATTTGGGCTGATTGGGACCTGATGAATGTAAAAACAAAGAATTAAGTGACTTTTTTTTCTTTACCTGATTTTTGTTTCTGAGAAAAATGAGATCCACACATGAGGACATTTCGATAGAACAGTAGCAATATAATGTCCTCATAATGTCCTCGTAAGTTGTAGAGCAACATTTAGTATTTTGGTCTAGAGAACCCAAAATGTGACACCCATATATGTGGACGCCAGGTCCTAGGAGGTTAAATTTGATCTTCATTTGTAGAATTCTTATGTCTACCTGTCCAAATATCTATAGAACTTGACTGCATGCTAAAGTAGCAGTTTAGCCATTTGATTGATGTTACAGCAGTTCATGACTGAATGAACATGGTACAATAAATGTACTTTTAGAAGTACATTTTTCCAAACACATTTAGTTGCCACCTCAGCATGTTGTCAAGTTCTATAGTCTTGCTAATGACCTACCAATTTTATTCAGGTGTGTTGCACCAGGGACACATTTAAAAGTTTCAGGACACCAGCCCTCAAAGACTGGAGTTTGACACCCCTGATATACTGTTCACTTAAACCTCATCAGAAATGCTCAGGTGACCCTGAATCCTCCCTTAGTTATGCTGTGGGGGGATTCCCATGATGCACTGGGTGTTTCTTCTTCACTCACTATGTGTTAATAGACCTCTCTGCACTGAATTATACTTGTTATTAATCTCTGTCTCTCTTCCACAGCATATTTACTTTTATGCTTTCCTGTAAATTCCTGAGTTATTAAATAGTGATTAAGCAGATCTTTCATAAAAGCATGAACTTCAGTTTCAGCTGGGACTCATTTTTAAGTTAGGAGGTTTAAGCGTCCTGCTGTAATAAA